TGCTTTAATGTATCAATAACAAAAATTACACAATTCTTGACCAACCTGTACCAAACAAGTAGGAACATATCGCATCTGCACCAGACAGGCATATACTGTACCGAATTTCAGTGAATCTGGTTATGTATGTTTTAAAAGAAATTATTAACTGAGAGAATAATTGTGCTTATTGTAACTTGTGTAGGCAGCAGCAGCAGTGATCCTGGCATCAGCCTAGTTTTGAGAGATCTTGTTGTTTGCTTCCTTTCTCTCATAATATACCGTGAACATTTGTAATATAAATGTCAGATATTGACCTGCAAGTAATGAAACGCTCATTGAAAACATCCATTTTTGATTAGCACATGACAGAAGGTGCCACTTGCTCATAAAATTGATGCAGTAATAAATATATTGACATATTATCATGCAGAGAAATCAGAGAGTAGAAATTAAAAGGCAGTCTGGGGTGACCAATAGTATAATTCAGAAACCTGAGGAGGGGTTTTTGAGGTGGTTTGGGCATGTAGAGAGGAAGGACAGGTACAAGTTGGACAAAGTGGGTGTATAAAGGAGGGAAGGGGTCATCTCATAAATGATTGGAGAGAGGGAATACAAAAGGCTTTTTGAGCTTTAAGGACTTGAACATCCAGCAGGCTTGTGTGAGCATGTTAGATAAGAGAGAATGGAGACAAGTGGCTTTTTTAGGACATGCTGTTGAAGTGTGAGCAGGGTAACTTTTATGAAGGGATTCAGGGAAACTAGCTAGCCAGACTTGAGTCCTTGAGGTGGTATGGGAAGTGTCTGCATTCTGAAGGAGGGGTGGGGATGTTGTGGTCAGAAGGATAGTCTGATTGTGATGTTAGCACACTGCTAGATTGAGTGAATGTTTAAGTCACCCTGCTATGATGGGAGATAGGCATTGTTTACAAAAAATTATGGTGAATAATTGATGTAAAATTATTAATAAATATTTTTTATTATTTATTGAGGTTCAATATGTCATATTTTAATAGATATCAAAATATTTTTTGGGTTTTGTTATTTTTTTGTGATTATAAACACTGCCATTGGGTGTTTGGATAACCATGGTTGGAAGGAAGGTGTGGTTTTTAAAATGAGTGGTCAGATATCTCTAATGTGGCTATGATAAAACACTTATTGAGCTGTATTTTAGGAAACGGTTGTTGTACATTTAATTTGAAATATTGTTTATCAGTATTTAAACAGCTTTATAGGCTTTTGTCCAGCTGCTGGGATGTGGCTGGTTGATCATTATATCTTGTTAATAGATGTACAGGCACTAGAGCACCCACTGTAGATCATTTCATTTAGACGTTTTTGCTATATTCTTTTGTTTTTCTTTTATCACACCGGCTGTCTACCACCAAGATAGGGTGACCTGAAAAGGAAGAAATGCTTTCACCACCACTCATGCCATTACTGTCTTGGCCAACATTACAGCTCAGATGCCCCTCCAAATTTCAGTATCCCCAAACCTCCTTTAGAGTGCAGGCACTGTATTTTCCACCTCCAGCCTCCAGGACTCAAGTCTGGCTCACCGGTTTCTCTGAATCTTTTCGTTAATGTTGCCTTGCTTCCACTCCAACAGCACATCAAGTCAAAGAAACCACTTGCCTCCACTCACCTTTATCTAACACACTCACACATGTCTGTTGGGTGCCCAAGCCCCTTGCATACAAAACCTCCTTTACCCTCTTCCAACCTTTCCAAGGATGACCCCTACCCCTCCTTCCCTTCACTACAGATTTATATGCCCTCAAAGTTATTCTGTTTTGCTCCATCCTTTATAAATATCCTAACCACCTCAGTAGACCCTGTGGAAAGTTCATCTATGGAAGCAAAAATGGGTAGTGAAATAAGAATACATATAATGGTTTCAGTACTTGTCTGTGTGTGTGAGGTATTCACTTCAGTGTTGCAGCAAGGAAGAGGTTGAAGACAGTGATGTCATGGTTCAGGACAATGTGTTTTGTAAATACTATACTGAGAATTTGGAATGTGGAGATTAAAAGAGAGCTGAGGAAAGGTTTTTGGGTGGTTTTGGCATTTGAGGTGGAAGGCAGGGAGTGACAAGGGCCATCCCAGGAAGGGTTCAAGGAAGGGGGGTAAAGGATTTTTTTTAGTACTAGGGACTTGAACATCCAACAGGCTAGTGTGAGCATGTTAGATCAGAGTGGAGACAAGCAGTTTTTATGACTTGACATACTGTTGGGTTGTGAGCAAGGTAACATCAAGGGATTCATGGAAACTGTATGGTGGACTTGGGTCCTGAAGGTGGGACGTACAGTGCCAACAACCAGAAGGAGGGGTTGGGGATGTTGCATTTCCGAAGGCCATCTGAACTGTGATGTCATCACTTCTCTGGCAAGATAGCAATTGACAGTGAAAGCATTTCCTCTTTTTTTCGGTCACCCTACCTGGGTGGGAGATGGCTGATACTGCGGTCAGAGGGTAAACGGATTGTGATGTCAGCACTCTTCTGGAAAAACAATGATTGTATGAATGTACTTTTTGTCTGGGTCTCCCTACATTGGTGGGAGATGTATGTATGTATGTATGTATGTATGTATGTATGTATGTATGTATGTATGTATGTATGTATGTATGTATGTATGTATGTATGTATGTATGTATATATGTATATATATATATATGTATATATATATATATATATATATATATATATATATATATATATAATATTATAGATATATATATATATAATATATATATATATATATATATATATATATATATATATATATATATATATATATATATATATATATATATATATATATATATATATATATATATATATATATATATATATATATATATTGATGAGGGAAAAAAGGTGAGTGGTGCGTTGAGGTATATGTGGAGTCAAAAAACGTTATCTATGGAGGCAAAGAAGGGAATGTATGAAAGTATAGTAGTACCAACACTCTTATATGGATGTGAAGCTTGGGTGGTAAATGCAGCAGCGAGGAGACGGTTGGAGGCAGTGGAGATGTCCTGTTTAAGGGCAATGTGTGGTGTAAATATTATGCAGAAAATTCGGAGTGTGGAAATTAGGAGAAGGTGTGGAGTTAATAAAAGCATTAGTCAGAGGGCAGAAGAGGGGTTGTTGAGGTGGTTTGGTCATTTAGAGAGAATGGATCAAAGTAGAATGACATGGAAAGCATATAAATCTATAGGGGAAGGAAAGAGGGGTAGGGGTCGTCCTCGAAAGGGTTGGAAAGAGGGGGTAAAGGAGGTTTTGTGGGCGAGGGGCTTGGACTTCCAGCAAGTGTGCATGAGCGTGTTAGATAGGAGTGAATGGAGACGAATGATACTTGGGACCTGACGATCTGTTGGAGTGTGAGCAGGGTAATATTTAGTGAAGGGATTCAGGGAAACCGGTTATTTTCATATAGTCGGACTTGAGTCCTGGAAATGGGAAGTACAATGCCTGCACTTTAAAGGAGGGGTTTGGGATATTGGCAGTTTGGAGGGATATGTTGTGTATCTTTATACGTATATGCTTCTAAACTGTTGTATTCTGAGCACCTCTGCAAAAGCAGTGATAATGTGTGATGTGGGTGAAAGTGTTGAATGATGATGAAAGTATTTTCTTTTTGGGGATTTTCTTTCGTTTTTTTTTTTGGGTCACCCTGCCTCGGTGGGAGACGACCGACTTGTTGAAAAAAAAAAAAAAAAAAAAAAAAATATATATATATATATTATATATATATATATATATATATATATATATATATATATATATATATAATATATATATATATATATATATATATATAAATATATATATATATATATATATATATATATATATATTATATATATATATATATATATTTTTTTTTTTTTTTTTTTTTTAACTTTGGGTGTTTCCCACTGAGGTAGGGTGACCCAAAAAGAAAGTAAGACTTTCATCATCATTCAAGGCTTTCGCCATCACTCATACATAATCACTGTCTTTGCAGAGGGGCTCAGATTCGACAGTTTAGATGTCCCTCCAAACTCCCAATATCCCAAACCTCTCCTTCAAAGTGCAGGTATTGTACTTCCCATTTCTAGGACTCAAGTCTGGCTAACCTGTTTCCCTGAATCCCTTAGCAATATATTATTCTGCTCATTCTCCAATAGCTCGTTAGGTCCCAATAACCATTTGTCTCCATTTACTCCTACATGCTCGCCCACATTTGCTGGAAGTCCAAGCCTCTCGCCCACAAAACCTCCTGTACCCCCTCCTTCCAACCTTTTCAAGAATGACCCGTACCCCTCCTTCCTTCCCCTACAGATTTATATGTTCTCCAAGTCATTCTACTTTGTTCCATTCTCTCTAAATAACCCCTCTTCAGTTCTCTGACTAATACTTTTAGTAACTCCACACCTCCTCCTAATTTCTACACTATGAATTCTCTGCATAATATTTAAACCACACATTGCCCTTAGACACTACATCTTCACTGCCTCCAGCCTATTCCTTGCTGCAGCATTTACAATTCATACTTCACACTCATATAAGAGTGTTGGTACCACTATACTCTAATACATTCCCTTCTTTGCCCACATGGATAATGGGTTTTGTCTCCACATATACCTTAATGCACCACTCACCTTTTTTCCTTCATCAATTCTTTGGTTAACCTCATCCTTCATAAACCCATCTGCTGACAAGTCATCTCCCAAATATCTGAACACATTCACTTCTTCCATACTCCCTCCTTCCAGTGTGATATCCAATTTTTCTTTATCTAAATTGTTTGATACCTCATCACCTTACTCTTATCTGTGTTCACTTTCAACTTTCTACCTTTTCACATATGTATATATGTATATGTGTATATGTTTGATTTAGGAATAAATTTCGGGAGCTGTGCTTTAACCTATTATTTCCTTCAGGATGGGTAGGTTAGTATGCTGATAAATCAAGTAATATTTGTTATGGATTAATTAGTGTGATGGAAAGTTTAAAAATCTTTCCACAGATTACAAAGAGAGCAAGAAAGAGCTAAGAAACAAGAAGAGCTGCGCCGAGAAAAAGAGGTATGTACTAATTGATTTACACAGTATTTGGCCATATAGGAGGTCTCCATCTTACAAACAAGTTGCATTCCAGGCATTTCAACTTACAAACAAGTTGCATTCCAGGTGTTGCAACTTTGAAATAAATAGCATTCCTATTGTTTCAGATTAAAAAAAATTGTTTGTATGAAACAGTAGTATAAAGGATGGTTATGTCTCACACATCAGCACTGAAGCTCAGCATGAATACCTGTCAGTGCCCCATTTGCAAGTGCAGATGTGTGGAACCTAGGGCATTTTGAAGTTGAAGGTCTCCTATATGTATTCAATGCTTACATATGAAATGTAGTAGTATTATTGTGATATATTTTCTTCTGTTTTTGGCAGGCAGAAATGAATTTTGTGTTTTATGATACATTTTTAAATATGAGTAGTATTGTATATTGTGATGAAGTGGTAGCTTATACATAATATCACAAAGGAAATCATAAATTTACAATGTAATTGTCATTATGGTAACTCTCTCTTCTCATCAGGCAATTTTAGAGTATTTATGTAATGAGAATATGCCAGTACCAGATTGAAACCAGAAAGAGGTATCAAGCAGTGAAATGACTAACAAGGAAGAGAGGGCACTCCTCATGGAGCTTAATGTAACAAACGTATAAAGACAAAATGGATTGTCACTCAAACTGATCTTTAACAACTCATTAATGACTGGTGATGTGCCAGATAACTGGAGGGTAGCAGATGTAATACACCACAAAAAATTCTAACATGAAAGAAAACTGAAAGTGTAATTTGTACACGTAGGAAAAGAGTATACTTTCCTGTCACTGTAGCATGTGCCCAATTTGAAATATTTATTTACATTCATACTTATATATTCTTCTGCCATTAGATGGGGAGTTGGAGGCATTGGAAAGATGGCAGGAATATTCTGAGGAGCTATTAAATGTTGATGAAGAAATGTAGGTAGTGATTTCATGCATTGGCCAGGGAGATATAACATCCTTTAGGAATAAGGAAGAGCTAGATGTGAGAGTAGTGGAAGTGTATGAGGCAGTGGCACTTGGCTTGGTTGGTAACACACTTGGCTCACACACCGAGCGTTCATGGTTCGGTTTCCGGCAGGGTAGAAACGTTGAGTTTGTTTCCTTACACCAGCTGCCCCTGTTCACTTAGCAGTAAGTAGGCACCTGGGTGTTAATTGACTGTTGTGGGTCGCATCCTGAGAGGTTGTAGTATACCTCAGATAGGGCTGGGACTTGGAAATGAGCTGAGGTAAAATAACAGGTCTTCGCCTGTAAAATAGATCTGTGTAAGAAAAAAACACTGGAATTGATGTGATCAGGACAAAAATGTTAAAAGCAGGTGGGGATATTGTTTTGGAGTGATTGGTACTTTTGTTCAGTAAATGTATGAAAGAGGGGAAGGTACCTAGGGATAGTGTAAAAATTATAGGGAAATGAGCCCATTGAGTATACCTGGTAAGTATATGGTAGAATTGAGGGTAAGATGGAGAGCAGGATTGCAGATAAACAAGGAGGCTTTAGGAAAGGTAGGGGACGTGTAGACCAATTGTTTACATTGAAGCATATGGGTGAACAGTATTTAGATAAAGGTAAAGATGTTTTCATTCCATTCATGGATTTAGAAAAGCCATATGATAGGGTGGATAGGAGAGCAATGTGGCAGATGCTGCAAGTGTATGGAGTAGGTTGCAGCTCAGGTTAGGGAGAGAGAGAGATTATTTTCCAGCAAAAGAAGGCCTTAGATAGGGATGCATGATGTCACCATGATTGTTTAACATATTTATAGATGGGGTTGCAAAAGAAGTGAATGCTAGGGTGTTGGGGAGAGGTGTGAGATTAAAATATGCAGGATCTAATACAAAATTGGAGTTGTCATAGTTGCTTTATTCTGATGACACTGCTTTTGGAAGATTCTGAAGAGAAGTTGCTAAGGTTGTTGGATGAATTTGGGAAATTAAAGGTGTAAATTAAAAGTGAACATAGGAAAGAGCAGGGTGATGAGGGTAGCAAACGATTTAGGTAATGAAAGATTGGATATCACGTTGGATGGAGGGAGTATGGAGGAAGTGAATGTGTTCAGATATTCTGGAGTGGATTTGTCAGCAGATGGGTCAATGAACATCGAAATGGTATACAATACCGACAGGTTGGTAGGTAAGACACATAGGCATCAGTTAGGCAACTTTATTCCGAAACGTTTCGCCTACACAGTAGGCTTCTTCAGTTGAATACAGAAAGTAGGCAGGAACAGTAGAGAAGACGATGTAATCAGTCCATCACCCTTGAAGTCGTAGAATTTGAGGTTGTCAGTCCCTCAGCCTGGAGAAGTTCAGTTCCATAGTCAAGAACTATCTGAAGATCAAGCGACAGTGCGGAGACTTAAATACTGTCGGAAGGAGAGGTGCAGAGTAGTAGTAGTAGTAGTGAGAATGTAGCCACTGAGAGGTCAGGTCCCTCTCAGATCCAACAATTCTCACTTGAAAACGTTGTCCAAGGTGTTTTCTGTATCAAGATGCCATGTGTTGCAGTGTCTGACAAGATGAACATCGAAATGGTATACAATACCGACAGGTTGGTAGGTAAGACACATAGGCAACAGTTAGGCAACTTTATTCCGAAACGTTTCGCCTACACAGTAGGCTTCTTCAGTCGAATACAGAAAGTAGGCAGGAACAGTAGAGAAGACGATGTAATCAGTCCATCACCCTTGAAGTCGTAGAATTTGAGGTTGTCAGTCCCTCAGCCTGGAGAAGTTCAGTTCCATAGTCAGGAACTATCTGAAGATCAAGCGACAGTGCGGAGACTTAAATACTGTCGGAAGGAGAGGTGCAGAGTAGTAGTAGTAGTGAGAATGTAGCCTACTGTGTAGGCAAAACGTTTCGGAATAAAGTTGCCTAACTGTTGCCTATGTGTCTTACCTACCAACCTGTCGGTATTGTATACCATTTCGATGTTCATCTTGTCAGACACTGCAACACATGGCATCTTGATACAGAAAACACCTTGGACAACCTTTTCAAGTGAGAATTGTTGAATCTGAGAGGGACCTGACCTCTCAATGGCTACATTCTCACTACTACTACTACTCTGCACCTCTCCTTCCGACAGTATTTAAGTCTCCGCACTGTCGCTTGATCTTCAGATAGTTCCTGACTATGGAACTGAACTTCTCCAGGCTGAGGGACTGACAACCTCAAATTCTACGACTTCAAGGGTGATGGACTGATTACATCGTCTTCTCTACTGTTCCTGTCTACTTTCTGTATTCGACTGAAGAAGCCTACTGTGTAGGCGAAACGTTTCAAAATAAAGTTGCCTAACTGTTGCCTATGTGTCTTACCTACCAACCTGTCGGTATTGTATACCATTTCGATGTTCATCTTGTCAGACACTGCAACACATGGCATCTTGATACAGAAGACACCTTGGACAACCTTTTCAAGTGAGAATTGTTGGATCTGAGAGGGACCTGACCTCTCAGTGGCTACATTCTCACTACTACTACTACTCTGCACCTCTCCTTCCGACAGTATTTAAGTCTCCGCACTGTCGCTTGATCTTCAGATTGTTCCTGACTATGGAACTGAACTTCTCCAGGCTGAGGGACTGACAACCTCAAATTCTATGACTTCAAGGGTGATAGACTGATTACATCGTCTTCTCTACTGTTCCTGCCTACTTTCTGTATTCGACTGAAGAAGCTTACTGTGTAGGCGAAACGTTTCGGAATAAAGTTGCCTAACTGTTGTGGCAGATGTTGCAAGTGTATGGTGTAGGAGGTAGGTTACTGAAAGCAGTGAAGAGTTTTTACGAGGATAGTGAGGCTCAAGTTAGAGTATGTAGGAAAGAGGGAAATTTTTTCCCAGTAAAAGTAGGCCTTAGACAAGGATGTGTGATGTCACCGTGGTTGTTTAATATATTTATAGATGGGGTTGTAAGAGAAGTAAATGCGAGGGTCTTGGCAAGAGGCGTGGAGTTAAAAGATAAAGAATCACACACAAAGTGGGAGTTGTCACAGCTGCTCTTTGCTGATGACACTGTGCTCTTGGGAGATTCTGAAGAGAAGTTGCAGAGATTGGTGGATGAATTTGGTAGGGTGTGCAAAAGAAGAAAATTAAAGGTGAATACAGGAAAGAGTAAGGTTATGAGGATAACAAAAAGATTAGGTGATGAAAGATTGAATATCAGATTGGAGGAGAGAGTATGGAGGAGGTGAACGTATTCAGATATTTGGGAGTGGACGTGTCAGCGGATGGGTCTATGAAAGATGAGGTGAATCATAGAATTGATGAGGGAAAAAGAGTGAGTGGTGCACTTAGGAGTCTGTGGAGACAAAGAACTTTGTCCTTGGAGGCAAAGAGGGGAATGTATGAGAGTATAGTTTTACCAACGCTCTTATATGGGTGTGAAGCGTGGGTGATGAATGTTGCAGCGAGGAGAAGGCTGGAGGCAGTGGAGATGTCATGTCTGAGGGCAATGTGTGGTGTGAATATAATGCAGAGAATTCGTAGTTTGGAAGTTAGGAGGAGGTGCGGGATTACCAAAACTGTTGTCCAGAGGGCTGAGGAAGGGTTGTTGAGGTGGTTCGGACATGTAGAGAGAATGGAGCGAAACAGAATGACTTCAAGAGTGTATCAGTCTGTAGTGGAAGGAAGGCGGGTAGGGGTCGGCCTAGGAAGGGTTGGAGGGAGGGGGTAAAGGAGGTTTTGTGTGCGAGGGGCTTGGACTTCCAGCAGGCATGCGTGAGCGTGTTTGATAGGAGTGAATGGAGACAAATGGTTTTTAATACTTGACGTGCTGTTGGAGTGTGAGCAAAGTAACATTTATGAAGGGATTCAGGGAAACCGGCAGGCCGGACTTGAGTCCTGGAGATGGGAAGTACAGTGCCTGCACTCTGAAGGATGGGTGTTAATGTTGCAGTTTAAAAACTGTAGTGTAAAGCACCCTTCTGGCAAGACAGTGATGGAGTGAATGATGGTGAAAGTT